CTTTTTAATAAGACCCCAGGTCATTCCTGTGCACATGAAAGTTTGAGAAGCATGCTCCACATCGCTGGTGAGGTCAACACACAGAAAGCAGAGTAATGTTTGTATCTCCCAACAGTTTTCTAAAGAGTTTTCCTTCTTAGCATCCTTATTTTTGGAGGGAAAAACTCAAGTGCACCAACAGTGACGGTAATAAACCCTAGTGTCTGCTGCCACCTTGTGGTGAGGAGTTTCAACCCAGCCAGAATGTGCTCTTTTCCATTAAATAAATGGGGAGGGAAGGGTGGACCAGGTACTCAACTTTTTTAGCCAAGTGCTTTGAGAGAACACGACAAACGTCCAAGATATAATAAAATAGTCCTTGGAAGTGCTGTGAGGTGTGCTGTGAGAAGGCCAGGTAACAACCTGCCTTTTCATGAGTGTCCCTGGGACTGAGTATAGGCAACTCTAGTTGAGAGATTTAACAAAAGCTGGATCGTTGGTATTGCTCCTATAGCTTCTTTCCTCTTTGGAATTCGGCATGCACAGCTGACTGTGATAATCATCACCAACCCGAACGCCTGTGGTTAGATAATCAGGTCCACGTTGGCCTTGCCCAGGAAGCTGCAACACATTCCACAAAGTGAAAAGGAATGTCCCACCGCTTTGCCAAATGCATCATTGGGACCTGGGTGAAATGATGACCAAAGCCAGGCCCAGGAGTGATGTCTCTAACACCCGGAAGGGAATAAACAAGAGATTTCAAAAATCTGCATATTTTATCCCAAGCAGCCCAGAAGTTCAAACTGCCTCAGTCCCTGAATAATTTTGTTTTGAGGTTTCTGAGCTCAAGCAATCTCCAACAGCGACTGCGGGTGACGCTGACAGCAATGGACCCCCCTCAACTCCATCGACCGGAGTCCTTTAAGTTCAGTTATGGGAGAGCTGGCCAGTACCGAAGGTTTCAGCAACCAAGAGGGAAAAACAGCTCATTCAAAAGGAAGGGGATTGAAAGGTAGGAAATTGGGACTCACTTTCTTTTTCACTGAGTGGGATTCTTTGGATTTTGCATTAAACAGGATTCACTGTGACATTAGAGAAGGTAGCATCTCTTTTTAGCATTGCGTTTGGAAAGGAAGGCTCTGTGTGGGCTAAGGAGAGGGCACTGCATTTACACACTAGTCAGGAAGCCTCATTTGGTGATCAGCAGAGTCTTCGCTGTAGTGGAGAAAAGCTTTCCTTCCACCTGAATTTGAGTTTGAATGTGCATATGACAGCCAAGTGAGCACTGGTGGTCATTTCAGCCTCGGGATTTTAGACATCGCACATCCCATACAGATAGCATTGTTCTGAATACTCAGTAGAACATCCCTCAAGATGAGTCCATGGTCCATGACTCTGTTCCTTCTCCAAGCAATTCTGCTGCTGAAATAGGTACTGATTATACCTCACTTATGTGCATGCTCTTTAATGTAACCTAAAAATTGTCTCATACCTCATATTTCTTGCCAATGGCGAAACCATAAACACGGGCATGAAATATTCCAAACACGATACATTTGAATTTGGAAAGTCAGTTAGATGATTTATTTTCCATTTCTTTTGGCTTCTTTCTTACCAGGGTCATTAGCAATAGCTCTGACATGCAGAAAGCAGGTGTTTCATGAGGCCAAAAGCATCAAAGACTAAACTTTTGAACTTTCATGGACAAAATAACATTTTGCAGAGATTTCCACTTTTAAGAAGAAATGGGGGTTGAAGCAATACAACCAAACACATTTACTACTAACCAAGAAACTTTAAAACTTAAGAAGGGGAGTATTCTTTTTCTAACAGAAATTTCAGCAGTTCTATTCCTAGGCCCTGAAGCAAAATCACCTTTATTAATTGTTATAGATTGGGATTGGGGTGAGGAGTGATGGGAATGGGAGACACATGGGCTTTGTACCTGAGGGTGGCTTTCAATGTCCCTGGACCTCCTAAAACGTATTTTCATTGTTTTGTGTTGTGCATGTGTGTATTTATGGTAGTTGAAAAAGATGACTTTATTAAAAGATTCTCAGAGGTGTCTTGGGAGATTAATTCTAGCCCATGTATGACTTTTGGGTGAGTTAGAACATGACACTCCCTCCTCAGGACACTTTACTGCCATCTGCTAGAAAGTTGATAGAGTAACTATACACAACTATAATGACTAAATGTGAACAGCACTCCCTAGAGGTTGTGTGTGTTAACTGGCCGAACTCCTCTAACCCAGGAGGTCTCCCTCCTTGACTTTTACATTTTCCCACAAAGATCTGATCCACTTGGTACTAAAAGCTATCGATTATTGAATGTTTTGTTAGGTTCCAAGCACATATGTTACTTCCTTTTATTTGCACATTTCTAAGAATAGTATAGCAATTTGCAAATAAGAAAACTGAAGCTTATAGAGTTAAATAACATGCCCAAGATCACACAGCTAGGAAGTGTGGTGCTGGGTTGAACAAGACCCTTTAACTCTGGTTCCTGGGCTCTGACTGGCATGCTGCCCACGTATGACAGAGAAACTCACTAATTAGGTCCAGTTCTGAGCAGGGTTCTCTGGAGTGTGGAATGTGTACTGCTGGTGGGACATGAAATATTTCAGGTAGTATTTGAAGGATATTTTAATGGTTATGAATATATTTACATCCACATTAGATATATATATTACATGTACTATCCTATATAATAAAAGCCTAATATGCAAATTGTCCCCTTGACCAGGAGTTCGACTGGGAGTTCGACCAGGGGACGGGGCCAGCTGGCCAATCACCCGCAGCCCCTCCCCCTGGCCGGCCCTACCCCAGCTAGTGGCAGTGGCAGCCAGGGGGGAAGGGAGGCCCCAGCTGGCAGCTGGCAGCTACCAGGGACCCTACTGCATTTTGTGCACTGGGCCTCTAATACATCTATATATATAAAAGCCTAAGGGATCGAACGACTGAATGACCAGTCAATGGGTTGCTATGATGCGCACTGACCACCAGGGGACAGATGCTCAACGCAGGAGCTGCCCCCTGCTGGTCAGTGCACTCCCACAGCGAGAGTGCTGCTCGGCTGACCTATGGGTGCCAGATGCTGGGCTCACGGCTGGCGAGCACCGCTGCAGTGGCACAAGCCTCTCCTGCCTCCACAGCAGTGCTACTGAGTGGCAGCAGCAGCAGGCCAGTGGGGCTGGGATGAGCGGGAGTGGCACGGTGCCTGGCCCAGGCTCGGGGTCAGGCTCCTCCCTGGCCTCCTGCTGCTTCGTGCACTACTGTATCCCTCGGGAGATGTCGGACTGCCGGTTTCAGCCCAATCCTCACAGGCCAGGCCAGAAACCAGCAGTCTGACATCCCCCGAGGGGTCCAGGATTGCAGCAGGGTGAAGGCCAGGCTGAGGGACTCCACTGGTGCATGAATCTGTGCACCGGGCCTCTAGTATAATAACATAATATAAAACCTGGGATTTCACCCAAAGAAATGAAGTTTTATGTTCACACCAAAACCTATACACAATGTTTATAGCAGCTTTATTGATAATAGCCCCAAATTGGAAACAACCCAAATATATTTCAGTGAATGAATAGTTGACAAAGTAAATAGTCATGGTATCGTCACATCATGGAATGTTACTCAGTAATAAAAAGGAACAACTTATTGATATACACAACAATGTGGATAAATCTCTAGAGAAATATGCTGCCTGACAAAAGTAAGTTCCAAAAGGTTATATACTGTATGAATTTTTTCATGTAACATTCTCGGAAAAACATAGAATACGCATGGAGGACAGCTTAGTGGTTGCCAGAGGCTAAGGAAAATGTGAGGTGAGTGGGAAGTGGGAGTGGCTATAAAACACGAAGGATCCTGGCTGTGTAGACACGCTCTGTATCTTGATAGAATCAATGTCAACATGCTGGTTGTGATAATGCATCATAGTTTTACAAAAGGGGGAAACTGGATAAAGAGTACAAGAGAATTTCTTTTTTAAAAATGGGCTTAAAATATTATTTCTTATAACTGCATGTGAAACTACAATTATCTAAAAATAAAAAGTTTAATTTTTTAAAATCCATGAGATTTTATGAATAGTATTGCTTTGGGTGAGACTAACAAAAAACCATTAACTGAGGAAGAATATTAGGTAAATGCTGGTGTCCTGGAGGGGTGGTGCTCACTCTAGCACAGAGGATAAGCATGCAGACCTTGGGATCAGTGCCTGAGCAGAAGTCATTCAATCTGCCCAAGCTTTCATTTCATTTGTAAAAGGTAGGCGGCCATATGAGGGTTAAATTAGGTAATACGCTTGAAAAAAGTAGAATGTTTAGCACAAAGAAAGCTATTAAGAAATTGTATCTACTTTTATTACTAAAATATGCCAAGATGATGAAGATAGTATATGACTAGTTGGCATTTTGGAACTATGTGTTCAGAATTCTTCTCTCTAAATGAATGTTCTATGTAAATGCAGCATTTGTGGAACTGTGGAGACTATATTCTTTATTGACTGGCAGGCTCTCATCTCTCACCACTGTAGCCTTAGAACTACCATATCCAGCAAAAACTGTCTCACACCATCACTGAGATAAGATCGCCAATTTGCCAATATGAGGTAATACATTCTAACAGTCACACACCAGGATTAAAATCTGCATTTGTGCCTAGTTAATTACGTTACCCACTCTCTGTATCTGTTTACTCATTAGTAAAAAGAAGATGATCGCATAACCTGCCTGCTATGAGGATTCAGTGAGGTGGTGGCCAGAATGCACTACTACAGTTTGGTGACAAGACACCAAGCAGTTGCTTTGGCTCATTTTTCTGTGATTTGATTCTTGGAATTGTGTAGTTTGTTCACATTTGCCACTTGGATTTTAATGATTTCAATGTCCTGTTTTTAACTTTTCAATTCCCTTAATACAAATTATTTTTATTTTTATTAGATGGCATAAAGCTGTGTCTACCAACTTGGTAAAACAAAATGTATTGGTCCCCAAAGAGGAATCGTCTAGTGGCAGCGACATGGAATTTCATGAAAGCCAGCAAAGTCAGAAAAAAAGTGTGATGAAGAAAGTGAAGACCTTCGTCGGGAGGATACTGTCAGCCCGGCACAGACACAAGCCAGCCGGTTCGGGCGCCACCAGCCCCCAGGAAGCCCTCCTTCCCCACCCGCAGAGCCTTCTTCCTGGAGGTGCCCAGGAGCTGCCGCCGCCCAGGCTCCGCTCCACACCGAGGACGAGAAAACTCCCACAGAATGGTAATCATGGGCACTGCTAGCTAGGTGTTGAGGCCAAGAGGAGTAATGCAATTGGGATGGATTTTCTTGCTACCCAAAGCATGGCATGTCTGGGAGCTTGTCTGAAATGCAGACTCCCAGGCCCCACCCTGTTCTACTGAGTCAGTATCTGCATGTTAGAAAGATCTGCAAGTAACTCTAGGATGTACATACATTTTGAAAAACTCTGAATTAGATTGCCTTTGAGGTACTTCCCAGTCCAACTGATCAGTGGGTTAGTCAGTTTATAGCCCCTTTTTATTTAAATATATATGCACACATAGATGAGTATGTGCACGCATAGGCACATAGTGTGGGTTAGTCAGTTTATAGCCCCTTTTTATTTAAATATATATGCACACATAGATGAGTATGTGCACGCATAGGCACATAGATGAGTATGTGCATGCATAGGCACATAGATGTGTATGTGCAGGCATAGGCACATATGTGTATATGCATGCGTGGACACATGTTAGTCAGTTTATAGCCCCTTTTTATTTAAATATATACGCACACATAGATGAGTATGTGCACACATAGGCACATAGATGTGTATGTACAGGCATAGGCACATATGTGTATATGCATGTGTGGACACATGTGAGTATATGCATATACACATACACATATATTAGGAAATCAAACTAAAGTGGGATTTTTTGGGTTTTGTTTCTGGAGCTTAGTGATGCAGTCTTTCAAATGGCTAATTCCAACAGTAGAGAGTGTGGTGAGAATTCTATGAATAAAATGTATGACTGGTAAGTCAAAAAGGACATTTTATGTTATTGTGTCTACTCCCCATGTACTTTATGTAAGAATTGACATTTGAAAAAAAAAATTGTCTTTTTCGCAAGGTAGTAATGCTGTTTTAGGGGGTCCTATGATGGATAGCTAACAATACCACTAATATTTGCATTTTCCTTTGTAGATTTTAAAAATTGATAGACCTTATTTTTCAGAGTAGTTTTAGGATTACTGGAAAAAAATAGCAGAAAATACAGAGAGTTAGTTCCATATCCCGCCCCCTCTCCTCACCCCATCCTCACAACTGATGAGCCAATATTGATATATTATTACACCAAACTCAAGTCCATAGTTTGCATTAGGGTTCACTCTATGCCCTGCCCAGCTCTATCGGTTTGAAACCCCATCATGTTGTGTCATGCATCCACCATTACAGCCTCATACAGAACAGCTGCAGCGCCCTAAGAGCCTCTGAGCTTTTCAGTGTCCTTTACAGCCCAGCACCAGGAAACATACAGCCCTGGGGTACACGCAGGGAATCCACACATACGTTCCCATTTCTCACAGTGAAAAGGCTGAAAACCTGCTGGGTACTTTTTCTAGGAAGAAAACAACAACTGATGTCTTCTAGTTGACTGACTGTCCTTTCAAACAAACATTCTGGAAAAAGCAGTCACTAAGCATCCAAGCATCTAGCAGTCACCTGGTATGGACTGACCTGTCTATTTCTGTTGAAAATAACAAAAAGGGTGTGCTCTATAGTGATGGAGCTGCAGTTGGAGAGTCTGGCAGGAAACAGAGCCCCAAGTTCCTTTTCCTCATCTGTGTGCATCAGCTTGTTTTTGTCTTAGTTGGAATAACAGGCCTCTAAGATTTCTCCGGAAAACATGCTTATCCTTCAGGCCGCAGCTCAAGTATTAACCACCTTGTCTCAGGTGTGGCCCAAACAACATTGCTCTTCTCTGCCGACCCTCAACAGTTTTCAACAAATATCTGCTAAATACGTATTACATGTCAGCCACGTGTTAGGGATAGAGTAGCAGATAGAACAGACATGATCCCTGCCTCCACAGGGTTACAGTGTAGAGCAGGGGTCCTCAAACTACGGCCCGCGGGCCACATGCAAATACAAATATTGTATTTGTTCCCGTTTTGTTTTTTTACTTCAAAATAAGATATGTGCAGTGTGCATAGGAATTTGTTCATAGTTTTTTTTTAAACTATAGTCCGGCCCTCCAACGGTCTGAGGGACAGTGAACTGGCCCCCTGTTTAAAAAGTTTGAGGACCCCTGGTGTAGAGGGACATTCCAACACGATACAATTACATCTGCTGCAGATAGAGTAGAGGGCGCAGTGAACATATGTCATGCCTCAGGAGGGGAGGGGCTCCAAAAAGGCCTCCTGGAGGAGGAAGGGACAGCTCAGCTATCTGAAGGCCACCTGGAGGCAAATAGGGAGAGGATGGGGAGAAGGGTGTCCCAGGGAGAGGGGAGCACCCAATGTCAAGAGAGCACCAGGTATAATTAAGAAAGCAATCCTGCCAGGACTGAGGTGGCAAGGGTGTTATAAAGCCAGTTAAGAATTTTTTATACCCAAGGGTGATGAGAAACCACAAAATACTTGCAAGCTGGGGATTTACATAATCTGATTTGCATTTTTTAAAGATAGCTCCTGCTGCAGAGTGGAGACTGGGTTGGAGGAGGGCAGGAGCCAATGCAGAAGGAGCAGTAAACAGGCTCTTATGTTCAGGAAGGGATGACAGTAGCCTGGCTGGTCGGGGCAGTGGGGAGGGAAGAGCTGGGCAGTGGAGGGTGGGGGAGAGGGAGGCTTCTCCGGTTGAGCACCTATTTTGAAAGTGGACCTCCCACCCCCGCTTCACTGAGATTAGGAGCCATGGCTCCCAGAGAGGTCCTTGTCTGTAGCCCTCAGCGGGACGAGATGACTTTAGGTGCAGCGCGCAGTAAAAACACTGAAACAGAGCAAACTGCAAACACATCGATCCCTTTAACTACACCAAGGAAAAGTCTCATTTCCTGCCTTTTTCTCTTTTAATAAAAAGTAGAGTAACCTCAAGCTTAGTGCCTTCTGCAGCCAATAATATGGTTTTGTTTTTACCATATTAATTTTAATGCCTATGTATGGTACTGGTTTTTGATTTATGATAGTGTTTTAAGTTCCCTTTACAAATACATTCCTTGTGTTAAGAATGGGATTGCTATAAAGAAAACATGAAAGGGTTCGCATGGCTCCTGGATTATGGGAAACTGCTAGGATGGTATGCGAGTGCCTGAGCCTGGAACCGCATTGCTGAAGAAAAATCTTAAAACGTTGCTTCAACCGACAACAAATATTCAAGGGATTGTCCTACACATCAGAGGTTACTTCTCTAATTTCACAAAGATAAAGGGAAAAGCATCAGGCAGCAAACTGGTCTGGAAGACAGAGAGGTGACCAACCACCTTGTCAAGACTGGTTGGTGACCACTGAGATGCCAGCCCAAGCAAAGGCCGTGTGTACAAGAGAAGGTGTCAGACAGAAAAGCAAATCCAGGTGGAATTGTTAACCCCAAGAAAAAAGCTTCGAGGCAGCACGGGATGCTGTCTTTCCAGACACTTTCTAAAGGAAGAATATGTTTACAACTGTGATCATTACAGCTTCTTTTCCCCCTTCACTCTGAGCAGCTCTCCAACTCGACGTTGTAGAAGCAGAGACGGAGGAGATCACCAGAGGAAGCACACTGCTCCGGGCCAGAACCACCCGGCGGCTGTCGGTGACATCCCTCCCGGCGACATCCCTCCCGGCAGGGCTGCACAAGGTAAACCGCTGAAGCACACGCCCCCAGGACACGTACAGTCAGACTCTAGGATGTGGGAGACGCCAGGTTCTCTCCTGCCGCAAGTCCCTCACAAGAAAGCCATCCGATCTCCTGCTTGTGTAGCGATTCCAGGAATTTAGGCCCAGAAAACCGGCTAATCCGATCTGGTTCCTCCATTTCTGAGCTAAAACTGTTCAGCTTCTATTACAATCTGGGCAACAATGGAGCTTGGAGTTTTACATTGGCGTTTTAACTGTTCAAATATCACGTTAGTGTGCTGGCATCTGGCGTGTCGTGCATGCTGCGTGGGGAGCAATCCCTGAGACAGGCTCTGCCCTGCAGACATTCTTTGAGGATGTGAGTGTACATTTGTCCGAGGCAGTAGACGTTAGCTTTCAACACCTGAAACGTGCCCAGTGCAACCAAAAACCTGAATTTTTAATTTAATTTCACTTGTAATTAAAATGCAAATAGCCACATGTATAGGAAGTACAGACAGTGCAACCCTAGACCATCCAGGACTCCCCAATCCAAAGCTTGTATTTATCTGTAGGTATGGAAATTTGAGCCTAAATTGCTCAGGTTATTTTTTAAAATAGCCGAAACTATTATTAGTTTAAATATAACATTTACGTAGAGCTATGTTCCAGGCCCTAAGTGCTTTAACTTCTCAGGTAATTCTTACAACAGCCCAATAACGTATGGCAGTGTTCTCCTTGTTTAGAGAGATGGTACAGAGATTAAGTAATTTGTCCAAATAAATCAGGCTTCAAACCCAGGAAGACCTGGCTCTATAGAGTCCTTACTCTTACTTACCATGCTTAGTACTAACTGTATCATCCAATATGGTAGCCAACACCTACATGTGACTATTGTTAATAAAATTTAAATTAAATCAAAGTTCATTTCTTTGATTGCACTAGCTACGTTTCAAGTATTCAATAACCACATGTGGCTAGTGGCAGTTGTATAGGACAGCACAGATAAAGACCATTTCCTGTCCACAGAAAGTTCTATTACATAGCAGTGCTCTAAGCCATCACTAGAGTGCAGTATTAGTTTAGAATCTTGCCTCTTTTGTGTGCAAGGTTCATACTTATTTTATTCCTATTATGTGCTTGTTAATTCCCAGTTCTAGGGCCACAAAGGTGATCCCATGGACATGGTGGTGTTTTGTGGGATTTATAGTTTAATAGAAGAGACAGACATTAAACCATGGCACTGCAGACTAATGGGGTAAGGATAATCATTTGAACAAATGGTGCTGGGACGAGCAGATGTGGGGAATAAGATGAAATTTGATCCCTATCTCACACCATATAAAAAGTTTAGTTCCTGTTCGGTGATAGATATGGAAAAGGTAAAACCTTAAAACTTTTTAAGGACACTGAGAATAGCTTCATGATTTCAGTATAAAGACTTCTTAGAACACATCCCTGACCATAAAAGATGGAGCCCTGGCCAATGTGGCTCAGTTGGTTGAGGCTAGTCCCATGCACCAAGAGGTCACTAGTTTGATTCCTGGTTAGGGCACATGCCTGGGTTGTGGGCTTGATCCCCAGTAGGGGGTGTGCAGGAGGCAGCTGATTCATTTAAAAAAAGGAAAAAGATGGATATATTTGGCTATATGAAAATTAAGAATTACCATTCATCAAAAAACATTAAATCAAATGTTCTCTACTGGCTTTAGAATGGTTTTGTTTAGCTCTCAGAATGTTCCCCAAAATATATTTAAATTAATTGCCCACATTTAAAAATTAGAATATTTCCAATAAAAATCTGGCTTTTCAGCTTTCGTTAGAAAACTAAAAAG